ATAGATAGATAGATAGATAGATAGATAGATAGATAGATAGATAGATAAATGGAACAGAGTGAAAAATAAAGTGAGTATGGGGATACAGAGAAAGTTTCTACTTGAGGTAAAATAATCAAGCTCGTTACCTTATGGAGAGAGAGGAGCCAGGGGTGTGTTTGAGAAGACAGCAAATGAAAAAGTTGTGGATCGGAGGTGCATCCATCACATCCAACCAGCAGCCAAAGAGACCAGTACCCTGAAGCAGAGAGAGCACAAATGAGTAAGAAGTCCAGGGGAAGCCAGCTGTGCTGCCACACAGCTGTGACCTCTGCATGTGGAAGACCAAGGCAGGAGGATCATGAGTTTGAAGATAGCCTGAGCAATGGAGTAAGACTCTGTCAGAGGAAGAACAGAAGAAAGGAAGAGGAAGGAATGAAGGAAGGAGAAAGAGAGCTAAGGGATGGAGAGGGAGAGAGAGAAGAAAGATGAAGAAGGCAAAGGAGGAAGAAGGGGAAGAAGGAAGGAGGAGAGGATAAAGAGAAAGGGGGAAGAGGAAGAAGAAAGGAAGGAAGTTGGAAGGAAAGGAAATGAAGTAGCTCAAGGCATGGGGATGGGCTGGTGGCAGTTTGCTTTGTGTGAGCTCAGAGGAACCGGGGGATTCTGAGTAGTCCTTACACCCCTGATTCCATTTTCACATGACATAGCTGACTGCTTTCCCACAGGAAGGAAAGGAAAAAGGAGTCCTTTCCAAGGTGAAATAATGCTCCGCTCCAGGCAGCAACCAGTGAAAGCTAGAATAAGACTGGGAGAGGGGTGCCAGCTGTGGGCTACATTCTAGATACATTCTTATAAAACCAGCAAAGTTCTCTGCTGTCTGGATGAGCCATGTGGATTGGAGGAGCTGAGAATTTTCCCCACAAGTTTGGCTGGTCCCAGAAGGAAGGACCACCTACAAATCAAAGTGAGATCTAGTGTGTGAAGAGGATTTTCAAGAGAGACTGGGGACTTGTTTTAGACACATAATGTGTAAGAAGACTTTAGAAAACCAGAGACAGATGCCAAGGGGGCAGTTGGATGGGGAGGGCTAACATTCAAGAGGAAAGTGAGCCATAGGCGTTACTTAAAGCCCTGATACCAGGTGTGAATGACACGGAGAGAAGAGACAGGACTGGGCCCCAGGGAGACCAATTCTGAGAGGCTCCAGCTTTGGAGACTCAGAAGGTGCAACCAAGAAGAAAGAAAGAAAGAAAGAAAGAAAGAAAGAAAGAAAGAAAGAAAG